CACTAAAATAAATAAATAAAGTACTTTTTTACTCTCTATAATTTTTCAATATTAATTGTTTTAGTTTTTAACTTCCCGTAGGGTAAGTCATAGTAATCGCAAAAAAATCGCAAATGAAAATTTTTGCTATTCTTCACGTTTTAGAGGTTTTTTCCATACAAAAGTTTGATTGGATTTCGTAAAGTATTGTCCAAAATTAGTAAAAGATGCAAAGAAATTACATATTCCCTTAACTGTACTGAAACAAACAAATTATATTTGTATCTGTATTATTTCTGCATAGTTAATAATTAAATTATGTATAAAAAAAGCTTAAAGATTTTTGTTCCTAAGTACATTTTGCTTTAATTTTTCATATTTGCTCCATTTCCATAACCCTAACCACGCATGTCTTCAACATTCAAAATTCATCAGAAGCTAAACATTTGCAATAAAAGCAACAATTCAATTTCTCGGAATAAACATGCCATTTTTTAAGCACTGACTCCCCATTTTTTATTTTCCCGATTATAATTTGTTTATATTTTTTAACAAGTTCCGTTTTAACTAAATCAGCTCGCAATTTTTCGTCAATAATGCCCAATAATTATTTTAATATTTTGCAGGTTTGAGCCTATGGGATTGAACACTAGATAATTTTTTTTTCGAAATAACGGTAAATTCAAAAAAAGAAAAAATTGAATAAGTAGATTAAGCAATGAACAGAACTGTTATTTACTAATTTGCAGAGTTATTTATTTAACAGTTATTTTATTAATCGGTTAATTGTTTCTACTGATATCACATTGCAAAATAAATGTGAATAAATGCTTTTTGTGTCTTCGTATCCCTAATTAAGTTAGATTGTTTATTATAATTTATTATGTATACTTGATTTTATATAAATAATTCTAGATTTTATATAAAAAATATAAATATTATAATATAAATTTAATCTCCGAAACTCGTTTTGGCGCCCCCTAAGGCGTGCGCCCGCATTTTTTGCATGCATCGCATATATATATATATATATAATATATATATTATATATATAATATATATATATATATATATTATATATATATATATATATTTATATTTATACTAGCAAACCCGACGAACTCCGTTTCGCCACCAGATGGTTTAGTGAGAAAGATGAAAAAATTTTTTGTTTGTTTTTTATTTGAAAGGGAAAAATTTGATTTTATTACACAACAGTAATGAATTTATTTCGATTACAAAAATGAAGTGTTTTTTAGTTAAACTTCTCTAAGTAAATGAAAGTGAATCCGCAAATTATCCGTTTCATTGAAGTGCTCTTTGTTAAACCACATTTTTTGTCTTTTGGTCTGACATTAACACAAACAAAGCATATGGTTTTCCAACTCGTGAACAGGCAACGTATAACTGCCCAAGTGAAAAACAATGATTTTGTAAATAATCTATTTGAAATTTATCCTGCAAACACTAAGCGATTAGCCTTGCGACTTGTTATTGCGACTTGTTATTGAAATGGAAATTGCAATCGTTTGAAGTCAAACGGAACACCAGTCGGAATCATTGGTATGTCACCAAATCGCTTACAATTTTTGATTAAATGGTGAAATTCTGTGCGTGTACTTCATTATTCCTTGCGACAAGAATTGCTCGTTGACTTAACCAAGCATAATTCTGATAATTCTCACTAATGTCATTACTCGAATTTGTTATTACGGTGTGTGAAGTTCCAACAATTTGCATTAAGGCACGATGCCATGCACCATTCGTAGCTATAAATCTTACGGAGCCCGAGACCTTTCCAACGAATGCAAAATTGTCGAAATCGGTTCGTGCGTTCTGGAGTTATTTCGTCAGGAAGGAAAACCCGACTTATTTATATATATATATATATATATATATATATATGTGTGTGCGTGTGTGTATGTACAATATGTACATAATCGACTGCAAATAGATTTCGTCGCAATATCGTCTCAAGAAATTGTTGTCATGTCTAATGTCGTGTGGCATGCGTGGCGTGGAGCGTGGTTATTGTTGGCACCTTTCAATCTAGTCAGAGTCAGATTCTCTGGTCACTAGACGCCTGGTGTAGGTTTGTATGGTTATAAATAGAAACAAAATATATTATACGCAACTAACGCTGCTCGAATTCTATTATGATATCCGTTATATGTAGTAACAACTGAAAACAGTGAATTCCATCATTGTACTGAATGGTACAAACAAAAAGTGCACTTCAGGATGAGGGTAATGAGTTGTCCAGACATATATGTTTGATATTAGAAAATATTATTCTTTGATTTTTATAAAAATATACATAATATTATGCTCAATAATTCAAAAAGATGAGTCATTGTAGTTCCAGAAATTGATAGTAATAAGCACATTTTTTAGCCCTGACCACTGGTCTTTCGTCGGCCTGCTTACCAAGTCCTCAGGTCAGCGCGGGCTAACACATTTCAGACATTTGGGCAAAAAATTATGTGACATTATTACAGTATATAAAAAATTTCACAGTAAATATAATATACAATGATAGTACGAATTTGTAAAAAATATAAATTTTACGTAGCAGTACAACAGCCAGTAATAACACTTAAACAATATTTCTTTGAGATGACAAAGATCGTGCAAAGGAGGAGTATTATTAATTTTTCATGTCCACTGATAATGGCAAAGAATTATATATATATATATATATATATATATAAATATATTAGGGTGGTCCTTAATATGGACATTTTCGAATTTCCTTGCTCCCAGAGGTTCAAATGTTTCCAAATTCATAAAAAACAAATTTCTAAAAGTTTTAGCTCTTAATATAGTTTTCTAGATAGAGCGCAATTCAATCAAATATTTATATGGAAATAGCAAGAAAAAATTTTCAAAAATTTTGCAGAGCGTCGAATTTTCAATAAAAAATGATACGAATTTTCACTTTTAATTCATTTGTCGCTAAGTTATACCTAAAAATATTTTTTTTTTAATTTTCAAATTTTTTTCATGCTATTTCCATACGAATTTTGATTGAATTGCGCACTATCTAAAAGTTAATATCAAAATCTAAAACTTTCAGAGAATTGTTTTTTATCAATTTGGAACCATTTGAGCCCTTGGGAGCAAGGAAATTCGAAAATGTCCATGTTAAGGACCACCCAAATATATATACATATATATATATATATATATATATATATATGTATATTTAATATTTATGTATCTAAAATCTATTTAACAAAAGTTTGGAACATTTTTTATTATCAAATTAAGTTAGTTGCAATAAGTTGCAATTAACATAAATTTTTTATGTATAATTAAACAAATATAAGCATTTTACAATGTGCAGATAATTTTCTTACAAAAATATATTCTACCTTATAATTTATGTATTCCAACTTTTTTATTGAATCCACTTTAAGGGGGTATTCTACTTTAGAGTCATGAATTTCGCCCGGTTTTTGAAGCGCTGTTTAAAGGAAACAAATAATATTTTTACAATCGATTTTTTTATCATTTATTTATTGATATTTTATTATTACATCAAAAAATTATTAAAAAACAAAAATTAAAATTCACAAAGTTATGAGCAGTCAAAGTGGAGGTTCCCAAAAAAAGAGGGTGTCCTGGCGTACATGATTCCAACCCTACTGGTGATTTGAAACATAAAAAATAGATGGATTCTTAATTATTATAGATGCCGCTATCGTATGAACCTTGGATAAGTTAAAATAATTATTTTTGTTCGAATGGCGGCAGTTTGAAAAAAAAATTACTTTTTTTCATGTTTTTTTGTCAATTCCGTATTTTTTAAAAATATTAAATGAAAAGTTATAGTTTTGGGCAAGGTCCATACGATAAAGCGATGTATAGGGAAGATCCTCTCCAAATTTGAAGTAAATCGGTTCATTAGAACTTGAGATATCCTTACCGCCAGCTCGAAAAAAGTAGTTCCGAGAAAAACGCGATCAAAGTTTTGAGACAAGTCGGACCCGAACCGAGGCCACGTCACTAAAACGGCTATAACTCAGGAAATAATAGTAATTTTGAAAAATCCTTTTAATGACATATTTTTGAATAACTAAACTTTGAAAATATGGAAAAAAAATTTTTTCGATTTTTTCAAAATTCTACAGTAGAATACCCCCTTAAGTTTAAATTCTGTTTTATTTTATTCATACCTCAAGGTTGACTATTTTATTTAAATAAAAGTGTTGTAAAAGAAACATAATAGCAAGGTTAGACGCATTTTTTTAATTTATGTAATATGGAATATACACCAATATCTAATTATTCTAATCTTCAATTTTGTTTTTTTATTGCTCTTTAAATTTCTTTGGTTCACGCTAATTTGTACTCAATTTTTTTCAAATTGCATACAAATAAATTAATTTTTTACTTGAAACTTTAATAACAAAACTGCGGTGCGATGCAGTTTGATGTAAAATTATATTTTATTTTTTTAAAATCTCATCTGGTTATACACCTTGTATATGTTAGTTAATTTCAAAAAATTTAATGTAATAGAGCAAATTATTAAATACAATAAATAAGAGAAATATATGTATGAATACACAAGTCTAAATAATGAATATTGCGCTTCTGATAATATAAAAGCACAGGTAGATTTTATTAGAGAAAATGGATGTTTGTTTATGAATAAATGATTATTTTGTAATGGATAAATTTGAAGTTTTCATATGAATAAGTAAAAGAAGATATTTTAGATAATAGTATAGCGCGCGATTTGACCACCAGGCGATCTCTATAAAACCGTTGCCGGTCACGACGACTTGCTACCAATTATTTTCTATTCTATTCTTACTCTAAGAACAAGCAATAGTCGATTAGTGTTCTGGTTCGAAAATTTTCGAACCCGACATAAGTCTTAAAACAATTGTATTGACATTAATAAATTTTTATATTTAATATTACAGTGTAGTTAATAGTTAAAACCAGCAAAAATTAAAAATTGCAGTGAATTGTGCTAAATTTAAAGTAAAATTTAAAAGACTTCTATCAGTGCATGGTGTAATAATATATAGTGTTAAAAATATGTTTGGTAGTTCATAAAGAATTGTTTATGCATTAACTTTGTTGTTATAATAACATTAACATTGTCGTTACATTTAAAAAAAATTAAATGTGAGTATCTATAAAGCTTTATTAAATATTTTCGAAAATTTTGTTAGAATTAAATTATTTTTATACGTTAGAAAATTTGTAAGAACAAAAAGTTATTCTAGTTCTTAAAAATATTATATGCAACCGCATATAATTTGTTATTGTAGCATTGTAGTTTCAATTATAGAGTTTATTAAAAATATAAATTACTAATACTAGTTTACGTACGACAAATATTGAAATAGCGTACTTTATATTACAAAAAATATAAAGTAGATCCAATCACAATTTTTGCGTCTTTCACCAGTTAGTTGTTTTATTAGAAAGGAATAGCTTCGATAAGTTTTCGATTTGCAGAAAGAGGATAAACGATTGGTTGAATGCCAAAAGATAATTTAATTATTTGAATGATAAATTGGAAATTAGTTTTGAACATGACGTGAATATGTATCATTAACGATGACTTCAAAGGTATAAATATAGCAAATTTCATTTCGTCAATTAAATATATTGAAGAACATTAGTATTACTTTTATGTTAGCTTTATTATTGAATATTGAATTGAAAACTTAGCATTTATTGAATAAATAAAATTCATCATAGCATAATAAGTAATTTATTATAATAACTTGTATACAGGATGCTGACTTTACAAGCAGTATTCATTTATCTTTTATGATGTTGCATACTACCTCCGAAAATACATGAGAAGAATTTGTAAAAGTACTTGGTTCAATATTAGAATGACGGGAAAAACATAGTTTTGGTGTGTTAAATTTTAAGACATTCAACTAATTTCTTAGTAATCTCTATTTACATATTATTACATATCATATTAAAAATATCAAATAAAGCAGAAAACGACATGGTTCGTAAATATTATTATATCTATCCCCCGTTTCACACGGAAGATAGGTTATATAAAAAACGTGTAACTCAAAAAATTCATTTTTATATGGAATAACCGTGCTAAACAAAAATCACTATTAAAAAGCCCATTTTCCTCACTAACTAAAAACAATGTTTAAAAGCAATGATGTTTTTTGTATTGGTATTAAATAAACAAACTAGCTTATACACACAAAAAATTTAGTTTTGATCATAAAACGGGAAGTTTCCATCTCATCTACATATTTCCCTCATAGACATAAAATACTAACAATAAAAATTCTAAACTGTAACATACCTTTTGTAGCATTGTATTTTGAAAGTAAAATAATAAAAAAAATATTGTAGATATAAGCAATTTTAGTTTAGGGTTCATAATATGGTGTAAATGCAAAATTAATAAATTTGGTAAAAAAAATATTTTCACAAACAGTGTAACACCTAGAAGATCGATAGGTGTATTTATAACCATAATTAGAAGGATTCGATTTTAATTATTTTTTATTGTTAGATTTATTAAATCGACCGAATATTTAATAGTGCAAGTAGTGACAACCCTATAGATCGCCATGTGCGAATTTTGGCCGAGTTGCGAAGTATGCAAATGCAAAGCCAGCCAAAGATGCGCCGGCTGCTCGCTGGTTTATTATTGCAATAAGGAACATCAAATTCAGCATTGGAAAACGCATAAGAAACTATGCCGACCTTACAAGGTAAAAATAAATAATGACAAAACACTAATTAATATTATTTAGAGATATTCTTAATGATAAAAAAATGCGTAACGTTTAATTGAAGTAGTTATATCACTACATATACATATCTGTAATTGTTGTACTGCGCACTTATAATTATAGGTAATATCAGTGTGTATTTGCACATATTTTCTAACTATATATAAGGCAAGTTATAGTATTCGTACAAAAATCGAAAATGAAAATTTATTATATATCTTTACGTTTCAAAGGTTTCTGAACATTTTGGTCTGTCTTACAATTAGAAAAAATCGATATGTGAGTGTGTGTACGTGTGTGTGTGTAGATGCTATAATGTTCGTCGACGATTTCGGGAACATGTATCAACCGATTTGAATAGTTTTGAAATTGAAGGAAAGACGTTGATTAGTTTTGGACAAAGGCAGGTCGTTTCAAAGATACGCGGCAAAATGTGCCAAAAATGGTGATTCAGTTTTTGAGATAACGGAGAGTCTAATTTGAATGATTTATAAAACATTTTATTTGCATTGACGAAATAAATAACTGATTAAATTTTTGAGCCAGTCAGCACTAGTTTCTTCATCTACGATAAATAAAACAGTATCAAAAATTGCATTCTTTTTTTAAATTTTTGCTTTGCTTAGCTCCACAAGTGGAATGTAATAATAAATGTTTAATCCACCAAATTCTAAATATTCAATTATTTGAATTGCATTCACAAACATCAATGTTTATTTTTCGAGGTAGATTTGGATTTTATTTTTTGTTCGAATTATATTTTTTCATTTAAATAGCTCTAAATCTCTACGGGAACAATAGCATGTTTTGTGTCAATATAATTTTTAAAGAAATATATACAACTGATGATTATTTATTAGTTTTAAAATAATATTTCAAATACTACACAAAAAACGTAAATATTCATGTCGTTTTAAAGCATTTATTAATTTCTAAGATCATTAATTTATTTTAAATCAATTATTTCCTATAACAACTCACGGTCTCATATATCATGAAGTTGCTAGACTTCATAAATATTTGTCTTACACAATGTCGGAACTATGAAGACAGACCGAAACAACATGATCATCTAACCAAACTAAAGTTAATAATAGAAGTAAGTATATTCGATACTAGTTGGGTTTTATTTTTACAACATAGTGCTTCTCTAAACTGTCGGAAACAGCAATAAAATTTGAAGCCTTAGAATCTCTGGACAGATATAATTTAGGGACAGAAAATATTTAAATATTATATATTTTTATATTTTCGTGTCAATTCTTTTATGAATTATATTATATAAATCAGACAAATTTAGATGAGAGCAAGTATCATTTTTTTATGAAACATTGCATAAATAATTATGTAATTTTATATAATATTTATAAGGTAGAGCGGAGCTTGAAGCTCCGAAAGAAAAAAGATCCACCATGAATATCTCAAAAACAAGTTATAATTTTTTAACAATATTTGAAAGTAGATAGCAAAAAATGTGTAATAAGTCTTAATTGTCTTAATCTTCCAATGTCTTGAATCAAGCAACGTCACAATCAGGAGATAAACGACCATGTTTGAAAATACATAACAAATGTATTTTCATTACAGTTAGTTTTTTGGGTGCGGGCATCGTTACTTAGTTTACAAGATTTTAATATAATTTTTAAGTACACGTTATTTAATTGTTTTATAAGCTGTATTGATAATTGTAAGTTAGATTCAACTGTTTTTACATAACCTCTATAAAAACTTACGCCTTGGCGGGGTGAAAAGGACCAGCTGAACCTTTACCCTGGCAAAGGTAAATATAAAAAATAGCAAATAAAAAAGTAAATTTTGTTAAATAAAGCAATTTTACAACAAATAAATTAAATAAAAAGTTATTCCTCGGCTGATAAATATTTCTGACGAAATACCAGATAAAGGTTATTTACAGTGTTATTTCTGTAAAAAATGCACCCATGATGTTTATATTTTGCATAGGTTGAATAATCTATTAAATTATTCTGTAAAATTGAAATAAAACATTTGTCCAGTTTGTCCCACGTCTATGAGATAAAAGACCAGTTATTCATAAGTAATCCAAATAATTACTTATCTAACGAGATATTTGCATAATAATAGATTTTTGGGTATTTTGTCGCTTTTCAGATGCAAATAGACCTTCTTATAGATTGCCTTAATCATTTCTTCAATCACAATTTTTAAGACATTGATTCATAAAAAAAATAAAATAATAAACTGAAATTTACACAATAAAATTATGTAGTAAGCAATTTTTTATTGCGTCACTTTTAGTTTATCATTTTATTTTATTGTTTTTTATGAAATAATGCATATCTTCTAGTAAACTTTTAACTTTTTTAATTTTTTTTTGGAATTTGTTATACATCAATAAATATATAAATATCGCAATGTTAACTATACTTGCAGGTTGAAAAAAGCGATACCTTAGGCAGATACTTAGTTGCAAGTAGAACAATAAAATCAGGCGAAATTATTTTAAAAGAAAAACCTGCTGTAAAAGGTCCCGCGCAGAATACTGGACCAGTTTGCATGGGATGCCTCGAGGTATTCTAATATTTATTTAATTGATTTTTGGCAATAGTAATTGTTTTAGTATCAAAAATATTTTATTGAAATTTTGATGTTTATTCAAGTCTATTAAGTCTATTTAAGTCTATAAAAAATTTCAATTATTCCTTTTCAAATCCATACTTTATTGAGTGCTTTTGGCTTATTTATTATATTTTCAGCAAGAACTAACAATATTAACTAGTTATTATTATTATAACTAACTCTTAAATTCATTTTGTAGAATGTTAACGAATCGAACTCTATACCATGCGAATTCTGCGGCTGGCCATTTTGTGATATAGAGTGTCAGAAGACTTCTAAGCATAAGGCTGAATGTGAATTTACCGTCAAATATCGTGGAAAAGTAAGTATAATCTCTATGGTGAATTTTCTTTTAATTCAATTTATCATTAGCGGCCACAATACACATTTGCTGCTAAACGGCATTTCGTGATAAAAGGTTGAAAAAAAAATAACGTCGAGAAACTTTGTTTTATTGTCTTTAGGATTGAGTATAGGGGAAAACGGGGGTTAAAGGTCCGTGGGTAAAAAGGTCCAACACCGATATTTCAAAAACAAGTAAAGTTAAGAATTTTTTAACAACAATATTTAAAAGAAGAGGAAAAATAATTAATAACCCGCCATCACCTAGATTCCTACGACGTCGCTATCGAGAGATAAACAGCAATGTTTGAAAATCCATAACAAAATAATTTTGTTTTATTGATAGTTCTTTTGGTTGTGAGCACTGTTGTTTAGTTTACCAGACCTTAATATAATTCTTAAGTATATGTTATTTAATTGTTTTATAAGATGTATTGTTAATTTTAAGTTAGATTTAACATTTTTTCTATATAACCTCTATAAAAGCTTATACGTAGGTGGGATAAAAATGACCAACTAAACCATTACCCTGGAAAAGGTGTAAACAATGAAAAATAAAAAATAAAAAAGTAAATTAGGTTGAAAAATGCAATTTTAGAACGGATAAATTAAATAAATTATTCCAACTCTGCTGATGAACATTTATGACGAAATGTCAGTGTTATCTTTGTAAAAATGTACCCATGAAATTTATATTTTGCATTGGTTGAACAATGTAGCTATTGTATTGTAAAAGCCTTTTAAAATTAAAATTAAACAATAAACCTGTTTGCCTTCCAGCCGTCCCATTTTAACCCGCCTATGAGGCAAAAAGGACCGGGTAACAAATTAAAAAAAATAGTAAAAAACATTTTTAGAAAGATGAATTAGCTGCGAGTTTTACTGAACATAGTCTGATAGTTGTTTGTTTGATATGTTTCATTTGTTGTAATATAATTGGTTTGATTTTCACAATATAATTGCTCAAATCATATTGGATCTTTGTGTCTTGTCCTACCCTATATGAATTGGATAATATACTAAACAATTTAATGATATAATGTGTGAGAGTCACCAATAATTTCTTGACTTTATAAATCAATTATTAAATTGAAAAAACACTAACTATTGCATTCATAAAACGTTAATATCATCGAATTTGATATAAAAATATATGTTCAACAAATGATTGTTAATATTTTCCAGGTAAATGTGTCGAATTGGGTGACGCCGCATCCCTTGTTCCGATTGGTAACACCACTTCGAGTGCTACTGTTGGAAAATGATTCGGAAAAATTAAATGCACTAGAATCGCATTGCGAATTAAGGAAAAATACAAGGCAGTGGGCAGATGATAACATATATGTAGTACAGGCTATGAGGAGATTGTTTCCCAATCATCCGTTCAAAGATGAAGAAATATTGAGAGCCTGTGGAATATTACAAGTAATAATTTCAATAACATTGTTAGCCTAAGCGCAACTAACTAAAAGTGCAGTCGAATACATTTTTTTATTTGTTTGTGAACTGCAATATTCATTGATATTTTTCTGCTATATTCATTGATATTATTGCGTCCATTAATCACGTAAGGGAGGAGTTTAACAAATAAAAATCACAAAATAACACGTTGGGAAGAGAGGGTCTAGTAAGATATCACGTGCATATATTTTTTACGTAAATTTTTGAAAAATCCAAAATTTTTCAAAAATATTTCAAAATTCCACGATTTTTTATAGGTATAGGAAATGAATTAAATATCGGTGATATGTGATAAAATCTTTAATTTAGCACTTGTTATAAATAGTCATCCAAGTTTAAAAATAGCAAAAACACTTGCCAAAGTTGACAAATTTTTGGTCCAATCTATCACATTAAGTAATATTCATTTTTTTGGATACGTGATTACCTTTAATTTCAACCAACCAAAACTAATCAACCAATAATTATAACTTTGCTTTGTAGCTATTATTTTCTCTAAAATAAAAAATGAGATATTGAAACTGTTTGCCCCCTGGCTATCTCTTTTTACCCAGCCTATAAAGAAAAAAGGGACAAATGACAAATTTTTGAAAAATAGTAAAAAAACATGTTTATATAATTAGAATTTAACTCGTAATTTTACTAAACGTAGATTGATAGTTGTTTGTCTGGCATTTGTCATGTATTGGGATGTAGTTAATTTGGATTAGAGCAGGGCATCTTAACCTATGGGTTGCGACCTCAAACAGGGCCGCGTGGAAAAATTCTGGTGTCTCAAGAGATTTTAATGTCAAATATTTATATCATTTTTGTATGTTTCTTGTACGAATTCTTAAACTATATAGTTTCATATTTAAAAATATTCATTAATGTTTTTATGATGTGTGGGGTCGTCAAAAAACTCCCAATCGTAAATGGGGTCACAAAAGGCAAAAGTTTAAGTGGCTTAGAGTTTAGATAGTAAAACCACTAAACGCTAAGATGGACCTTTGTACCCCTAACCGAATGCATAAATATCTATATGCATAATTTATTTTAAATAATATTTAAATTAATTTCTTTTCAGGTTAATGGACATGAAGTGCCCCTGTCGCAACCTCCTCATGTAGCCGTTTATGCCGGTGCTGGTTCGTTATTTGAACATAGCTGCGTGGCGAATTGCACAAAAAGCTTTACTGACGAAAAGACAAGTGAAGTTACAATTTGGGCAGCACGAGATATTGCGCCGGGAGAACATTTAAGCATCTGCTATACAGATTCAATATGGGGAACAAAAGACAGGTAATGGGATAAATCACTTCCATCTTGTAATTAGAGACATAGTGGTCGATTCTGCCGTAGAATAGACTAATGTTATGTTCTAATACATAATGGTACTAAATACTGCAAAAAATCTATGTAGTTGTTGCGCAGTCAGGCGTTCTAAAAAACAACCAAATATAAAAAAACAATGCTATCATAACTGCATCTTTGCGATGTCACATAATAATACGAGCGAAGTTGCATTTTATGTGTAAAACGCCTGATCGCACAGCTATTGCATCCCCTACATAGACCATTCTACGGCGATATACCGATGCGCCGTTTTTAAAACTTCTAATAAGAATAAGTGATGATTTTAATCTATTAAATTCAACAGACAACAAGATCTTCTTGAAAATAAGTTCTTCCAATGTTCTTGCCAACGATGTATGGATCCCACCGAACTTGGATCATATACAAGTGCTCTTTACTGCTCTAATATCAAATGCGGAGGCTATGTGTTACCTACAAAATCCAAAACGGCATCAGAAGGTAACATATAATTTAATAAAATACAATAAATAGTTATAATAATAAATACATAAAATATCAATTGTTACATTCATAAATTACATGGCTCACTGGAAAAACTACGTATGATATCTATGTATATGAAACTACGATACCTATGTTTTTGTATCACCTTTAACTCGACAGAAATCTATTAGTAATTATAAAGAAACATATACATTTATTTTTATTTTAAATATTCAAATATAAAATATTAAATTATTTGCCCTATAAACACGTGATTCATTTTGTATCATATTGTCAAATGTGGAGCTTTTTCCATATACATATTTTAAATTAAATATGTACTTATTTAAGTATTATTTATTATACATTTTTTTCCGTGTAATAAAGATAAAAAACTAATATTCTAAAGTTAATTTAATAAAAAAAATAAAAATTGCCTAAAATATTTCTTCAAACAAAATTTCATATGTTTCTACCCATACGTGTGTTGGTACATAATTAGTATTAAAAAATTATTATTAGTTTTAGTGCAAATTTTGTTATACTTGAAATAATTTATTTTATGTGGTTTTTATTAAACAAAAGTTGTACTTAAATTATAAAAATTTAAGCTTTTTTTATTTCGAATAGGCGTAAAATATAAAGTAAAATTTATCATTTTTATGTTGAAAGTAATTGAAAACTGAAGAAATACCAAAACTTTTTTTAAAATATCAGATACAATTTACAACTCAATCTTATTTCTTATAAATAAATTTTATTTCATTTCAGCGTTAACAAACGGTTATACAAAATTAAACGAGAACCACAATGAAGATATAAATGACTCTGTAAGGCAAAATGGATCTACTAAAAGTGATGACTGTATACAAAACAGTAATAACGCAGTTATCGCAAATGCTATTAATTGGAACTCAGATTGGCAATGTAATAATTGTAGAAAAAGCATACCCAATAGTGAAGTGCAAAAAATATTAGAAGCTGTACACGAAGAGCTTCTTTTGTTAGATCGGGATAATATTGATTCTTGTAAAAGGTAAATTATATGTATTTTATTAACACAAGGTAATGAAACATTATTATTAAATTTTAGAAATTATGCCTTACTGGTGTTTTTTTTTATTTATAGTTTTCTGTCACGAAATGCTTCGCGACTACCAATTAGTCATTATGCAATGTTGGGCATCGAAGTTGCTTTGGCTAATCAGTTGGGTTCGGGAGGGTACGATAGTATTAAACATTTGACTCCAGAGGATCTTAATTTCAAAACAGATTTATGCGAAAAATTGATTGAGAAGTTAAGCACTATTGCACTATGTATGTATAGTATCCATAGTATTTTATATTGAACTATTTTATATTGAACATGGGAGGTATAGATATGTTTTACCCATAACCATAACCTCTAATGTATGATAATTGAGAGCTCTGATAGCTATTGTAATTATCATAACCGGAATATTAGTTATAACTGAAATAATTGACAATTTTGATTAATGTTTTAGTTATTGATAATTACGGTATTAACCTTTTATAATCGATCACGTTGATCTACCAGGTGCAAAAGAATGAAGTGAGCGTTTAGATACAAATGTCTTGATAGGGAAGATTTGTTGTGACCGAGCCTTAATTTTTTTATAATTTATTGATGTGATAATAACATCAAGTCCTTGAATAAACAATATCATACTTTTTTATCTTGTTAAAATGTCGAACTTTGCGGAAAGCATTAGTTTTTTGCTTTCATTTAAAGAAAAGTGCTGCAGAGTCACATCTAATACTTGTCGAAGCATACGGTTATCATGCTCTATCAAGAATAACATGCAAAAGATGGTTTCAATGGCTCTGAAAAAATGATTATGTCGTAAGAAATGACAAATGTGGAAGGTCACCAACAAAGTTTGAAGATGCCGAATTTTGAGCTTTATTAGATAAAGATGACAATTGCAAATGGCAAAATATTAAATGTAGCACAAACAATAACTTACCGTTTAAGAGCTATAGGAAAAATCTAAAAGCCCGGAAAATGGGTGTCACAGGAATGGAATAAAATGGAGATCGAAAACCGAAAAAATTTACAAAATTTTGCTTCAGAGACCTAACTAAAAATATTTAGATCAAGTTGTTACTAGCATTAAAAAAATCATGGATTAATCCGGGAAACCATGAACATCGACTGCAAAGCTAGATCATTTTGGCAAAAAGAGAATGATGTATGTTTGATGAGACTAGAGTGCATAGTTTATTATGAGTTGTTGAAATCTGTTGAAACTGATAATACTGACCGCTACCGACAACAGATGATCAATGGGCCACAAGATACGATAAGCTAATTTTGCTCCATCACATGCGCTTGCACACAAAAAAAATCGGTTCTGAATGTAATCAAAGACCTTGTCTGGGGGGCTGCTACCCCACCCCGTGCTTACCAAACTTAGCTCCTTCTGACAACAATTTATTTTTATGGATGGGACCACGCATTAGGTGAGCAGCGCTTTGATTCCCACGAGAAAGTCGAAAATAGGGTGTCAGATTGGTTTGCTTCAAAAGACCAAAAATTCTTTTAGCGTGATATCCACAAGATGGACAAAATGTGCGACTGGCAATAGCAGCCTTTGCTTTCCTTTGCCTTTCCCATTGAAAATTTGGTGTTTTGTGCAAAAAACCTCACTTCATACTTCTTCACCTGTATACTCATATTATAATAAATTTCAAAAACTCTCAGATAACTTACCATAAAAATATATATAACTTACCATAAAAATATTTTCATGTTAAAGGAAAGGAAATTATTAATTTGTTACTAGTTTGTTAATAATCCATATCTTCAAATCTCATTTATTTTCTGTATGCTAAGTTATCTGAGGGTTTTTGATCACCTGTTGTCGGTAGCGGTCAATATTATCAGTTTCACCAGGTTTCAACAACTCATAATAAACTACGCCACTCTGGTTTCATCAAACATACAGCATTCTCTTCTTGCCAAATTGATCTGGCTTTGCAGTCGATGTTCATGGTTATCCCGGATAACCCATGATTTTTTCAACGCTAGTAACAAATCAATCTAAATATTTTTTAGTAATGTATTTGAAGCAAAATTTTGTAATTGTTTCTTTGGTTTTCCATCTCCATTTCATTCCATTCCTGTGGCACCCATTTTCCGGGTTTTTGGATTTTTCCCATAGCTCTTTTTTTCTGGGTTTTTGGATTTTTCCCATAGCTCTTCATAAAAACGTTCATAAAAACGTAACTGAATTTATTATAAATTTTTCAGGCGAACAAAGATTACTGGGATTGCTCCGATTCGAGTTGCATTCGGCCTTAGCGGAAAAAGCGCGAAGATGCGAAAACGCCGAACGCAGGCACGAACTACTGTGGCGATCGTTGGAGGCAGCCGAACTCTGTACGCGTTCACTAGCCAAAGAACCTTCTTGTCTGCACGAGGGGTTGATGGCGAGTCAAGCCGAAAAAAATGCAATAGATCTTAGAAAAATGATTTGTTAAGAACTGATGTTCGCCTATAGTTAAGATTTTATGTTTACAGCCATTTTTCATAATTTATAATTTTTTAGTTTTAGTTTTTAATATTTTAGTTAGTAATGTTCGGACACCAGTCATTGAAATCAGAAATATATCCAAATAATTACTTTTTTGTTTACGTTTTATTTTTATCATTTTTGCGTACCTTTTACTAATTTTTAGCGAGAGCGTATTAATATTTTAAAATGCTTTAGTATTATTTATTTGGGGATCATTTTAATAAATATTTCTTCATTAAAGTCAATTATTTAGAAAATTAAATAGTTTATATTTAAATAAATTTCACTCGCGTTTAGCCTTTTCTGAATAAAAAATATAAATACTTGTTTTAAATGTAATTCTAAAACTTTGACATTTTTCATTGATATGTATTTGTATTATTTCATGATATCTTAATAATTGAAATAATTTATTTTTAGTTTAAGTTGTTTTGTTTCTTTTACACATAAATCTGTTGCAGACGCAATTGTTACACGTTAGTTTAAAATTTTTTTTATTGTAATTGTTTGAACAGTAATCAGAACTCTTGCTTGTTCTATAAGCTGTTGGTCAAGACTTATGACTACTTATTTCATGAGAAGCAATCCATCGATTTACCATTCTCTCATGTGTGGGATATTTTTGATATTAGCTCTTACGTCTAATAGTTAACATGTGATTGGATGTTGCAGCTATGTCCACAAAGGACGATTTCCACTTGGAATTATAAGTGGAAATTTGACATCAAAGCTGCCTGATGTCGGGCTACGGCGGTAGCGGGAATCTATCCAGCAAACCTGGAACTAGTTGCTGCTAGCCCACGCTCTAACCGATATCGCCACCGCTGGCCCTCTATTAAATTAATATTAAAAATAAAATGTGTGATGAGAGCCAAAATTGCACCTTTCGTGGACGTTTTGCAAAAACGACGAAAACTATTCACTAAATTTAAAAGCCATTCAATGAAATCGATAAGAACTATCAGTGATTAAGTTGCCAGATTTGTGTAAAATGTTTTGTTCATACTTTAGCCAAAGGTTTTTAAAGAAACTTAACAAGCCAAAGATGACGATGTTTAGGCTTAATACCCAAATTTTATAAACCAACCAAAAGTTATTAAGTTATAAATTTTAATTAAGGTGTGGAATAATGTATCGCGTTGTTAGTACATATAAGTGTATGGTAGTGCAAGGAAATAAATACGATTATAGATATTATAGGTTTGTTTGAAAGATATTAATTAGAAATTGCATCGATTAGTTTTTAGTGAATTTGAAATCTTAATTTTAAAAATAAACGGTTGAACTTTAATCTAAATAGATAAATCTTAATTGTTATTGATTAAATCGTTAAACGTAAGTTCATGCAACTTTCCAGACAAAACGACAAAACACCTTGAGAGAACTCGCTTGTTTGTAGACATATTATATCTTTATTTTGTTTTATGCAACCTGATAACAATAAAATAGACAACAGCTTCGTCTCAATTCAAATATCAAAGTCTGGCTAAATCGCAAGCATGAAAAAGTTAACTTTTAAATTACACAAATGCTGTCTAGGCACGGCTGTTCTCGAGCCTAACTACAGCGATTCAAGCACGAGAGCTAGCCGGATATAATATTGTTTAATAATCCTAATTTTAATTAGGATTTATTGAGTTTATTGAGGAAATATTAATCCAAGATGGCACCGGAACTTGACGTTGGTGCAGAGATCGATCGATTAACAGCTAAGAGGAAAATATATTTTTCAAGCATCCAAAAAACTTATGACATTTCTCAACAGATTAGCTCTTCTTCAAGTAAGATACAATTTCGTAAAAAAATTATGCCTTCTTGAGAATGCGCGTAAGCAATGCATGCACCTTTCCGATGAAATTAATATATTGAAACAGTCAGAAAATCCTAGCTATATTCCGGAATATACCCTCGCGAGAGCATTGGAAATGCTTTTATTTTATTTATGCAAAATGCCGAAACAATTTTAGACGATCAAAACGGTTTATCTCAAATTTCCAGCACTTTGATTAATTCATGTATTGCTTCAAACGCAGATCTTTATGAACAAAAAGATAAGATTACACAACTAGAAGACATCCCACTAACCGATTTTCTAAAATCTAATATAATTTCTCAGGAAGAATTGTGTAAAAATAGTATTAAGAAAAATTCATAATTATGTATTATATATATATATATATATATATATATATATATATATATATATATATGATATGATTTTCAGCCAGTCGTCGAAACAAAAGAAATAAATACAAAATATTTATTTATAATATACGTTTCGACACGGATTTTGTGTCATCATTGAGCAATTATTTGTTAACAGTATCTAAAAAATATTTACAAAGATTTTATATATATATATATATATATATATATATATATAAACAATCGCGATGCGATGTAGAAATATATTAATAATAAATGATTTTATAATTGCAACACATAAATAATTTTAGTACCATATATAAAACTTGTATTTATAAAATTTGTAATTTTTCATAATACATTTTATTCTGATTCTTCAAAACTGAGAGTTTGTCTTACAATTAAAAAATAGTTATTATCAGAATATTGAAAAAAAAAACGCGTGCAATTAATAAAACTATTCAGTTTTAAACTAATTATTTTGAAGTGATATAGTTAGTTAATGTTATTTCTAGGCCAGATCTAAGCAGAAAAGCTTAATTCAACATTGAAATTATTTATTTATCAGAGATAATGCGTTCAAGTGCAAGGAGCGGCCAAATATCGGAATGTCCCATGGCTTTGCGGCGCACGTACGCTAAAACTATTGATTTTACAGAAAAAAAAACGTTATTTTATATAAGTTGGAAAGAAGATATCGTTGGAACTGATTTTGGACGCAATCTGACAGGTTTTAGGGTGTTTTTCTCGTGAATGCAAATTTTGATTCCATATCTCGTGTAGACTGTACAGCAATTCTTCTCCACGCAATACACAACGTACCAAAAATTTAGGTGGCTCTGTTGAAATCATCGGATTGATCAACGGGTTGATGGTCTTCATTCTTCTACAAACGTATTAATATTGTTAACCAGAAATGTTATAAATATTATTAGATTTCATATACAACATTTCTTACAATTTGCTATATGTTTATTTTCGTAGGATTCATATCATAAACTATATTACGATTTTAGAATAATGACGGGATTAAATATAGTCAAATTATTTTCTCTCATCAAAGGTTAATAAATTATTTGTACATATCTCACGTTTCAAGTTCCTCTGAGCATATTGGCATTCCTTAAAAAAATGATGTATGTGTATATATGTATGTTCGATTCCAATTGATAAGAAACTTTCTAATCAATAAACTTTCTTAAAGAAAGCGTTCTGATTAATTTTTGGCAAAGACAAATCCAGCTGTATTGAAGATGTGGAGAAAAAGTGTAAGAAATGGCAATTCAGTTTTTGAGAGAACAAGCTTTTATTTAAGCTGATTTTAAATATGTATGATGAATATAAGTTTTTGATAAAATTAGATTTTTTTATCTTGAATTTTTTTGAATATTTTGAACATTTTTTTAAAGCATTAGTCAACGTAGCTGTTCTAGAGACAAAATATCGAAACGCGCAAGCGCTGCTTCGCAGTCTAACGGATAATCATCAGTACGGAACCCATAGATTTTTTTATTTATTTTTAAAATCACTAAAAAATATCTGATAATTGGATGTGCACATGTCTAATGACCATTTTTGACCGCCAAATGCTTTTTTTTACTTTTTATTATTGGATTTCCAAAACCGCTAGACCCAAACATTTAAGCAGATATTTTTTCGTTTTTTTTTCAATACAAATAAAATATTTTTGAATCATTCAGATTGGACGCTCCGTTCTTCTCACAAAAACTGAATTTCAGTTTTTGGACTTATTTTTTTCGATCTTCGAAACGACTGCATCTGCTTTTGGCAAAAACTAATCAGCACGTCTCTCCGTAAATAAGAGTATTAAATGTATTTTTAATTATTTAAGTTGGTTGATCTGTGTTCTTAAAACCGTCGACAAAAATTTGTAACCACACCCATATCCACATATACTGATGTTATCAAGACTCAAAAATCGCGGAGAACGGCAGGACCCATATACTGCCTGAGTGTCTTCAGAGTTGCTTGCGCATTTGGCACAACATCAGAGAAAGCAGTGTGCGACATTTTAGAAACTCCGTCTCTCATAGTCTTAGCAGAGAAAACACGGACAATTTATCAATAAAAAAACCAACAAACAAAATTGTGAGGGTCCTAACAATTTGAGAACAGAAGAACGGCTGAACAGCATTGACCTATGGCAGCAACAGTGGGATGCCGCAGTGAAGGGCAATGGACGCATCGTCTCAATTCAAGTATCAAAGTCTGGCTAAATCGCAAGCATAAAAAAGTTAACTTTTAAATTACACAAGTGCTATCTAGGCACGGCTGTTCGAGCCTACTAATATAGTGCACTACGAGCCGGAGTAGAAAAGACATTGAGCCAAAGAATTACTCCGAAAGATACTGTTGAAGAAGTGATTCTACTAACTGATGCTGCGGGGTACGCCATAGATACAAAGTGTTAATAGACTTGCAATCTTCAGAAAGAAAAAAAGCCAATAGCAAATATATTGCATATAATTATAAGAATAGTATAATTTCAGAGCAAGAATTATAGCATTCTAGATCATACCCCTATGAAGTAATGCCTAACGGCGTTTTCCATGAGAACCAGAGTCAAGAAAATAGCGGATATTTTAGTCCGTCGGTATTATGCACAGGCGGTATAGAGTTCGATATACTGACAAAAAGCATTTTTTATAAGGTATGCCAAAATGTTCTGAAACCTTTAAAACGTAAGAATATATAAAAATTTTCATTTTCATTTGTTTGCGATAAATATAACTTCTTCCACGAGAAGTGAAAAATAAATGAATGGCAAAACTGCAAAGAATCGATTAAATCAAAATAAAATAATCTTACCCTGGATCTCTGTTTTCGTACAACAGGCGTCGCTGTCATCCTACAAGCGAGACACGTTGTTTGCGATAGGCCGGGGTGCCAAGTTTCAACTAT